GCCCACCAGAAAAGCCTTTTGCTCGGACCTGCTGCCCTGCAGGCTCTGCTCTGCGCATCGCCGCCGGCGTTGGTAATGAGGCCAAGGGACAAGTGAAATAGCGTTTATGTCATTAGCCATGGCTCTCATTGATTTGTATCAAAATAGCTGTTTTAAATGTAATTACCACTAATTTGTGAAAATGCGCCATTAGATATGTAAATTCATCGGCTAATGGCTGCACGCGGCAGATTACCGTGCAGGGGATGGTGTGGGATAGCGGAGTCAGACCCATTTCTCAGCTTGCTAAGCAGGTTCCTGGGGGCTGGGGTTTGGTGTCTGGACACCCCGGGGGTCTCCCAGGAGCCTTTCCCCCCACCCCTTCTGCAGGGCATGGGCCACGGGGAGCCTGGAACTTTCTCCCCAAGAAAGGTGCACGTCCTGCGTTTCCCAGCGTATTAGGGGTGGTGAGGGAAATTCTGCAGGAGTCCAGGAAGACAAAAGGGATGACTCTTAAAATTCTACATGGATCAAAAAAAATCATGGAATCATTCATCAGGATTGCTGTAGTTCTTGACCACATAGTCAATGATTTATTTAATCTTAATATATTCCACAAAGATTCCCCATATTTCCATAAATATGTCATATCTACCTAATACATAGTAATGAACCTGCTCCAAGGGTAAATAAATAAGATCTAAGCTCAGCAAGCCAATGTTTATCAAAGGGAGATATACAGATATTGAGTCCTTTAAAGTACCATTCTTCACAGCAATCACAGCCAAGTTAGGCAATTTATAACGTGTCAAGTCAATTAGAAATCCCAGCGGGCTCAGTGCGAGCCCGAGCGCGGCGGGGGGGCCCGAGGCGGCTCCGGCCGTGGGTGTGCAGGGGGGTGCGAGGGTGTGGGTGTGAGGCTGGGGCACCACTGGTGGGTGTGGGGGTGAGGGTGTGGGTGCGAGGCTGGGGCACCACTGGTGGGTGTGGGGGTGAGGGTGTGGGTGCGAGGCTGGGGCACCACTGGTGGGTGTGGGTGCGAGGCTGGGGCACCACTGGTGGGTGAGGGGGTGTGGGTGTGAGGTGGGGGCACCACTGGTGGGTGTGGGGGTGTGTGTGTGAGGTGGGGGCACCACTGGTGGGTGTGGGGGTGTGTGTGTGAGGTGGGGGCACCACTGGTGGGTGTGGGGGTGTGTGTGTGAGGTGGGGGCACCACTGGTGGGTGTGGGGGTGTGGGTGCAAGGCTGGGGCACCGCTGATGCGGCTCCCCCGGAGCTGCTGCGGCCTCGGCTCCGGAAGGGTGTTCTGCTTCTACTTAGGGCTAACGTACCTGCTTCAGAAGGGGAACTTTCGGGTTTCATATATAGAAGGCTTTCTTAATTTTGGTTTGAGAACTGTTTACTAAGAAAAACTGAAAGTTTCAAACTGGAAATTTTACTTGGCCTGTTTTAATTTTTCTTATTCCAGTATTTTGTGGAATTATATGTAGCAGCACATAACGTGTAATATACTAGTCTAAATATTTTTATACAAATATATTGAAAACACATAAAAATACAGTTGCAAAGGGAAATAAGTATTATTTGTTATAGATTGCATCTTTTTAATCTTATTTTCTAGAGCAAAGTATTTTCTGTCATTAGTAGTTTGACGAAGTCAATAATAGAATATTCTGATTATGTCAATATGACATGTAATATTATGCACTTCTATTATTATGCATATTATGACATGACTTGACATGCTATGACAGGTCACATTATGCACTACTACTGATGTAATAAAATAATGTAAAAGTAATGAAAACAAATTTTGAAATGAAGAATTTTAAAATGAATTCATGACTTTTCCTAAGAGCAATTCCCAAGCAAATCTTTTACGTTTCCGTTTTTAAAGAGTTTGTTTCCTTTTCATCCAGAAGGCACATGGCTTCTGAAGAGTTAATGTTTCCTGTGAGGATGGAGCCTGGGTTTGGGTCAGCTCACCAGCTCATGCTCCACGCGCGTGTCCCTGTGTCCGTGAGTCTGGCACGCGGCAGCACGTCCGTGCGTCTGCACGTGCACCGCGTTTGTGTGCGATGCCCGGGGGTCCCACGGGCGAGGGGCCCGGGTGATGGGTGCCAGCGTGGCCGTGTCGCAGGACAGCAGCCTGAACGGGCCATTTTGAGCAGCAAAATGTCAGTCCTGCTAGTCCCAACACAACAGACGTGAAAAATATTCCGTGTATATAGGGACAGAAAATGCAGGTTTTTTTGCTTTATAAATTAAAGCATCTCATCCTTTCAGCCACAGGGCCTGGGGTGTTAGAGGACAAGCGGGTGCGTGGTCCCCGTCTCTCTGGGGGTGCGGTACCCTGCTTTTTGGGGACCTTTGCCCAGGGGCTCCCAGCTCTGCTGCTGCCTGCTCTGCACGTTCAGAGGAGGTGGGTCACATCACTTTTTCCCCAAGTGAAACATTTTATTCTTCATTCTCTGCTTTGATGTCTGCTCATTGCTTTGCTCGCCCACAATACGGTCAGGTTTTGTGTTGGCTTTTAAAACTTCTCAGGAAGAGCATGTGGAGAGCACAGAAAACTCTCAGGAACCGGGACGTGTCCTGGCAGACGAGGTGACGCGGGTGGTGGAGATTGCTGGCTGACACCAGACTGGCACATGTTGTACTTGGGAGCTTCTCGTGTGAAGCGTACGGCATGTGGATCCTAGTTTATATTATTTTTCACAGGGATACAATGATAATTCTCACTTCCCAGACACACAAAACAGTTTGGCAAACAGGTTGCTGGTGAGCTGGAGGCTTACAAGCCTGAGTCTGTCCTGTGCTGGTGTCTGATGGAGCTGTGAAGGTGTAGATTCCCTGCACAAATCATTAAGAAAAAATGGCACTTGCTGGCAAGCAGGTAGGAGTTTCAGTGGCCTGGAGACTAAAGCAGGAATCAAACATGGGCACCAGGGACCATCGTCTGTGCTCAGTGTTCTCCTGCCTCTGAACCACTCCGATAACACAGCGGCTGGCATCCGGATTCATTTTTAATGAAATACTTTTTGCAACAATCCTACAGCAGCCCCAAATGGTGGCAGATAAGAGGACTGCCAGGTGGAAGATCTCCTCCTGCCTCAGCAGCTCCAAGAACCCCGCTGTCGGGGGGGCCCGGCGGGGCGGCCGGGGGGGCGGTGGGCAGGGTGGGCGAGGGCTGCCGGCCGCGGGGGGCCGGTGTCGGTGCTGGGAGCAGCGCGGGGAGAAGGGGGACAGAGGGAGGGGGGGGGGGTGTGGGTGCGGTGGGGAGCCCTGGAACCCACGAGCGCCGGTCCTGGGTGGCCCCCGCACCCCTGACCCTCTGCCCGCTGCCGTCCTGCACCCGCGGCGGTGGGGCAGAGGGAGCTTTGGGTGCGCTGCTGTCAAAGGGAGCACCCCTGCCCCCGGGCAGCCGGGGCTCCTCCGAGGGAGGGTGGGGTGGGCTTTGCAGCCCCCCCAGCCCCTTCTGTCCCCGCGGGGCAGGCTGGCACGGGCCGCGGTGCTGCCGGCTGCGCTGCGCTCCGGCGTGTCGGGCATCCTCGTGGCAGCGGGAGGTCGGGGACTGGTCAGAGGGCTCCTCACCGAATCCCTGCTGCCTGGCGTGGAGGAGCCGCGCGCCTCCGGAGCCCCTTCCCTGTGGCGATGCCACCAAGCAGGGCAGCTGTGCTTTGCCATCCCCGGCCAGCGAAGCCGGCAGAGCGCTCAGACCCAGGCTCTGCGCCTGGCCTGAACTCCCAGGCAGCGTGGGACCCGCTGCCCTAAGCCTCCCGCCCCAGGCGCTCGGAGCGGAGCCCCCCCAGGGTTCCTGATCTGCTGTGACCGAGTCCCATCCTCGCTGTGGGACGTTTGCCACCTCTCTGTGCAGTGAAATTCACCCTGCAGCGTCGTCCCCTTGTCCTCGTGTCCCAGCAGCCCTGCCCCTGCCTTACACGCGATTGCAGATTGCACTTGCTGCATGAGGAGCACCGTGCACGTGCTTTACTGGGGCTCCTCCCTGCTGCCATCGCCCCTCTGCTGAAGCCACCATGGGACGATGGAGGTGACAGCGTGCTGCCACTATAGGGGTAAGTCCTCATCTCTTCTGAGATCTGCCTCTGCTCGTGTCCCCCCTCCCCACAGCCCTGCACCGCTCCTCCTGCAGAGCCTGCACCAGCCCAGCACCATGCAGGATGGATTCCCGCACCCCCGTGGCCCGAGTCCCCCCGCTTGCAGTGGGGCTGGCTCTGCTTCGGAGCTGTCATGAGGTGGGGGAGAGGCTTCGTATCTCCAGTGCAAGGGAAGGGGAGCTGTGCCCCCTGCAAGGGGACGTGGCTGCCAGCCCCGGGGGCTGTTCCCTGCCTGGCACTGGTGGAAGTGGTGCCTGGCAGAGCTTGTCCTCCCAGCAGCGCGCTGGGCCCCGTGCGTGGGGCAGGCAGTGCTGCTGACAACTCCTCCCAGGCACGAGAGACCCTGGTGATAGAGAAAGGTCATTCAGGGACCTCAACAGTGTCATCTTCAAATGGAAATGTCATTTTTTATTATTTAGTGCTGATAGATTGCCCAGAATAAAGGCAGATGATGGCTGGGAGAGCTTCAGCTCAGACAGCCTCTGGCCTCTGCTCCCAGCCCCTTCCCACACACGATGTGGCACGGAGCCCCTCGGAGCCGCCATCCTCCTCCTCCTCCTCCTCCTCGGTGGCTGCGGGACTGCCGCCCGCTCCCTCCCTGGCAGGGGCTGGTGGCCCAGCCCGCGGGGACCGGGAGCCACGCGCCCTTCTGCCTCCCCTGGGCTCGAGGGGGGCCCGGGGGGACCCCGCCAGCCCTGGGAGCGAGGGGCTGGGGCCCCCCGCTGCCCCCCTGCCCCCCCACCTGCGCGGGCTTGGAGTGGAAGTTACCTCCCGTTACAGACTCGTGTCGGAGTGCCACTTCCATCTCCATGAAAGCAAATGAAAGGGGTTTGATCCAAATTGCATTTCCTTTCCTAGGCTGGAGTATGACGGCACATTAAAGCCTGTAATATTCCACTGCTGCTCTTTTGCATGATTTTTTAATTAAAAAACTATGGAGTAAACAAACATTCTGCTCTGGAGTAGCCCTGCAGAGACCCATCGGTAGGCACATTTACATCCCTGCACTTTTTCAAGAAAGTTTATATCTTAACAAAAAAAAATATTAATAATATCACCCACCCAAACAGTTAGTATTGGATAAAAGTTTGAAGTGAAAGGCAGCTGGCAACCTTCTCCAGCCCATGAAATGATATTAACATTTTATTATTCTAAGGTGAGCTTTTTGAAACGGAATTTTAAATGTTACCCTGCTGTTCCAGAACACAAAAACCTTTAATTTTATGCAAATGAACAGCGAGGAGCTGAGCGCTTAATGTAAACGAACACTTTCTTTGTAGGAGAGGTTGGAAGAGAAAAAAAAAAAAATTCCCAGGGATTCTTTAATTGCTGTCTGAAATTATGTAAATCCCACCGCTAGGCAGAACGCAATTATCCCGTGCCCCTCTCTGCCAGCACTGCTAATGTCTAACAAAATATCGGTGGGTGACATTTAGTCGAGGTAATGCAAATGAGAATTAATTTTTTTCCAAGACAAAGGGCAGCGAAAAGATCACCTCATTCATACACGGCGGAGGGGGGCAGCGCCGGAGGGCTCTGCCGGGGAGGCAGCGCCGGAGGGAGCCGAGGGCACCGAGGAGTTGGGCTGGTGGCACTCGGGGACAGCTGGGCCCGGGCCTGAGCCTGTAATGCTGCTTTGTCTTTTTATTTTGTAAAGGAATGAAACCCGGGGAGTTGGGGGCAGGTTGGTTGTTTGTTTTTCTGTTTAATTCATGGTCATTCTGACATGGGAGCAGGGTGGGAAACATGATTGAAACCCTGTAATGGCTCTGCCTGGTGTTGGGTAAAGGCGGCTTGTGATTTATCACCTACTTGTGCTGATAACTAGCAATAATTCTATTAAATATTCAGAGTGAGGCTTTTGTAACGCAATTATTAAACGGGATTTGTTAGTGCAGAAATGCTTCCCGAGCACAAAAAGGTGCTGCAGGTGCAGGGAAGGGGCTGCTTTGAAATGAGCTTGCTTCTCTTGCCCCGTCTTCGACCGAGGTTGGGGTTACCTCCACACCTGGAAGGCGGGGGGGACGGTTCCCATTTTTGTAGCATAAATCACAGAATTCATACAGGGGTTTTCCTTCTTTTCTCTTTTGGTTTTGTTTCTTGGGGTTTTTTTCCACTTTTGCTTCTTGCATTTCACAGCTACCTTTGCTTCCAAGGCTGCATCTAAGAGCTTCTGTCTCCAGTTACCTTTTAAAAGAGAAAAGGAAACCCCGGTGGGAGCTGGTGCAGGGCAGGGGCAGGTCTGTGTGAAGGGTGATGAAGTACACGGATGCTCAGAAGGCTCTGGATCAGGGTAAGAAGTGCTTGTGGAATTATCCTTTGAAATGTACACTCTGCAGGGAGGCCCCGGGGATCATCCTTGCTGGAGGAGACGGGCTGAGTTGCACCATCTGCTTGGGATTTAGGACAGGCAGAGCTGTGAAAATATGAATTAAAAATACAGAGTAGCAGGAAATAGTTTCCTCTTGCCCCATCTTTTTGAAATTATACCAAACAAAACGGGATGGCTGGTGCCACCTGCGTGCTGTGGCATTCCCCACGATGGGGCTGGGTGGCTGGTGGCCAGCGGGGACCCCCGGCCCCCCCGGAACGGCACCGCGGGCTCTGCCAGCACCAGTCCCACCCGAGCACGGCCGCTCTGGCAAACTCGGGCACGTCCCCAGGCTCTGTCTCCGGTTCCTGCCACATCAGCTCCCCGCGGTCTTGCCGCGGCAGCGAGCGGGGGGCTGGTGGGGTGAGGACCCCCCCCGTCGCCGGCAGCCTGCGGCTCGCTCCACGGTCCCGTGCGAGCTCCAGTGCCGGCAGAGGAATGGATGTGTCATCTGCTTCGCATCGCGTTCCCTTCCTTTGAGTAGAAGCGCGTTCCCCTGACACGCACACCGTGACCGCCAGCCTGCCCAGAGCCTTCCCGGGCCGTGCCTGGCACCCCCGGGGGCCGCACGCCGGCGCAGTCCTGCCGTGCCAGTACGGGGGGGATGAGGGTGAGGGGGTGCAACTGTGGGCAGAAGCTGTCCCTCCTCTGCAGGACACTGCTGCTGTACAGACAGAGGCTGTCCTTGTCCTCCTAAAATTTATAATCTTTATAATCTAAGATTTAGACTCTTCAAAGCTTTATGCCTGTCTTTAACCTGTAGCACATGCATAGTCTCAGTGGGATTTCTCATCTGCTAAGAGTTAAGCACGTACATAAATCTTTGCAGGCCGGGGGCCTCAGGCATTCCCACGCACACATGCACACACATTCCTGCGCACACGCGTAATGGAACCGCTGCCGTGCAAGCTCACTCGCGGAGCCGCCCGTGTCAGGGCTGGGAGGCACGCCGCATCCTTGATGCTCGAGCCAACCTCCTGAGCATTTCTCGGGCGTTTTGGATGCCGTGGGGGTGCTGAACTTCTGACGCCACCTTTAGCAAATTCCCTCTCCGTGTCTGTGTCTCCGGGAAGCAGGAGGGGGATGTTAGCAGGCAGTAATTGCGCCGGAGGTGAGCGGGAGCAGTTATGCGCAGTCACAGACAGCATTTGGGTCAGAGTGGGAACAGAAAATAGCTGAGGAAGGCGCTGGCATGGCAGGTACTTGGCATGCAAAGGGCAGCACGTGGAAGGCTGGCTGTGCAGCGAGCGCTTCCCTCGCCTCCTTCCCCCGGCCCCTCGCAGACCCCGGGCAGCGCGCGGGGTCCCGGGGCTGCTCCGCTCCAGCCCAGCGCAGCCGCCTCTGCTCAAACGCTGCCGGGAAGATTTGTCACCAGGTTCTGCCACATCGGCTTCATTCTCACCGACGCGAGCGGGTCCAGTGTGATCCGGAGTCAAACTGGTGTAAGAAACCAGGGCAGATTTTTCATGGACTGGTGGGACTGATAAAAGGCTGTGCCAGCTGCAGTGCATCCTTCCAATAGACGGTGTTTGTGGGGGTTTCTCCAGCTGTGTGCATTTAGCAGCACAGTATTTGCAGGGGTCTGGTCTATGAGACTTCACTGTATGACTCCCCAAGCTTTAATTTCCATGCAGTAGTTTCTGCCATCAAATGACAAAAAAAAAAAAGAAATACACTTCACATTTAGAAACATCCCTGTGAAACCCTTTTTTTTGCCCTCATGTTAAGTCAGATGATACGACTTCCCATGAAATTACTCTTTCCACTTGATAGGTGGTGCTTGCAATGCAAACGGATAAGGCTTCTTTCATTTGGGGTTAGAAAATCCAGGCAAAGTCGTCAGGTGAGGAGCGGCGTTTCATAAATGTCTTGTGTTCTGCAGCGTTCACTTTATTAAGGACTAAATGGCATAGTTTTCCCTAAAACACCCTCTGCCCGGTGCAGGAAGCTGTGGCCGTCAGCGCTGGCCCCTCCGGAGCGGCCGGCGAGGGCGGTTCAGCCGGCAGCGTGCTGCCGGGCCGCGCTTGCCCCCGCGCCGCGGCTGCCTGCGCCCGCAGTGGCTCGGGTCAACTGCTGTTTGTCAAAGGCAGCCGTGGCCGTGGCCCCAGGCAAAGTGCTGATCACAGCACAGCACCCTCTGAACTGACCCGGGCATTTAGCCTTTTCTGAGAAATATTTACAGAAAGGTCAGCAAATGCTTTGTGACAAGACGCTAGCACATCCCTAACCCGCTCCTTCCTCACTCTCTACCTCACCCCACGTGCCAGGCGCCGAGCAAACCAGGACGGCAGGTCCCTCACGCCAACGTTTCTTCCTTCACATTGCACAGATGCTGCTACGAGCCCCCGCAGCCCGGCGGGGACGTGTTCCTGCCTGTAACCCCATCTCTTTCCAGAGGATGCCTTTGCATCAACCAAAGGATTTTGCTTGTGCCCCCACGGTGTCAGGGTTGTGCTGCGTGAAGAAGAGTCCTTCTCACCATGCTCTGCTTGTCTTGATCACAGGCTCTGTTGCCCTAGTCCCCATCCCCGCTCTGCCACCACCACCCAGAGTCAAGATTTGGGACCTATGGTCGAAAGGGAGTGGACAGGACCTGTTACTGCAAAATGCTGGCAAGGAGGAGGACGCTGCAGCGGGGTCACAAGCAGGACGGCTCCGTGCACTGCACCGTGGCAGCGCCAGCTGCCGGCTCCTGATGGCACCAGGTACCCCGGGCTCTGGAGCTGACTGCACTTCCCCATCCTATTGCCAACGATTTCTTCCATCAAACACCCTTTTGCTGTGCTCACTGTGACAATACCCAGGCAACGTCAGCTCCCGGGCACTTGCTGACCATTCTGCTGGCTCCGTCTCTGCTCCCCCATCCCCGTCAGCGGTGTTAGCTGCCCATCCTGGCAGCGGCCAGTTACTGCCCGTGGTGAGGCAGGCAGACAGACAGACAGAGCAGCAGCAGGAACCAATCATTCTAGACAGATTTACCAGCTAAAAAGTTCCTTGCAAGAAAATAGAGCAGTGAGGGTCACATGGTCCTGCGGAAGAAACAGGCTTACAGTCCCTGAGCCCTCCCTGCCCTGAAATGGCCCGGGCTTCTAAGCAGATCAGAGTAAAAACCTCCTGTAGCTGGGTAATTCTGCCTCTTTCTGATAAGCCGGTAACCCCATTAATAGAGAGTCTGGCATGGAGGGAGCTGTGCTGGGAAAGCACTGCACCTCAACATACACAGCAGATTAAAAAGGACTTAATCACAGTGCAGCCACAAAGTGCGCTACATGGCATTATTCCTCTGAAATAAAATTTTATATACAGCCTATCTGAGAGCAGCACAAAATAAATACTTTAAAAATCTATGATTACTGTAAGGGGTTTTTTTTAATTTTATATTGGTGGCTGAGTTCTGCTCTTGCTCCAAAGGATTAGAGGGATAATTCCATTACAATTTAGTAACAAGATTAAAAGAGCCAGTTATCCATTTATGGGGGTCTATGGAAACGAGCAGTGGCTTCTGGAGGTCTCGGGCTCTGGGTAGGTGTATCACTCACATCACAGGCACATCCAAATCAGGTTAAGGCACAGGCAGGACATGCCCGAGGTGAAAAGGTCTCCGGGGCCACCCGGCCTGGCTTTACTGTGAGAAGCGTTGGGGGCTTGAAGGGCGAAAGGGTGCAGATGGGGAGACTTTCTGGTGTGAACGGTCACGGACCAGAGGAGAAAGGAAGGAAGAGCAAGAAGGCGTGCGCTAGAAATAGAACCGTTCAAGCGGCTCCCCCAGGACCGAAGCACCCGTGTCACAACTGCCGGTGCCGAGGAGCCGCTTCACGCAACCGCTGGCACCAGGTCGCCAGGGCAGGAGCAGCCGCCCCCGGCTCCCGAGGCGCGGGACAGCCGGCGCCCGCCCGAGCGTGTCCCCGCGAGGTGCTGGGGCGGCTGTGGTGGGGACTGCCGGATCCTTTCCGCTGTGAGAAACACGGAGCAGCCAGAGTCCTGGAGAGTGCCAAGATCTGCTACGCCAGCGTCTTGGCATCCTTCCTATCTCCACAGCTGGAAGAGGAATTTGTGACAGCTTCCATGGCAAATTTAGTTGCTTCCTATTTAGAAGCAAATGCCTAAACCCTTGATTTTTTATTTTTTTTTTTTCTCCAAGTTCTCTGTGATTTTCTGCACTGATGAAGCCTTGGCTGTAAGGACAGGAAAGCTGGAGGTCAGCAGTGGGGGCTCCCGACGGGTGTTGCGTTAGGCAGGACGCATGGTTTGTTTCTCATTCCTCCTACCTCACACAGTAACAACGAGGACACAGCACTGTAATTACGCATCTGAGTGTCAACTTCACACTGATGATCTGTTACACAGTTATGAGGATATTTGAGCATTTGAGTTTAAAAAGCACTTTTCAGGAGCATTACTAAACTTCCCTTACAAGGATATTGGCTGAAAATGACCACGGCAGAAGATGCAAACACAGGTAATTTGGAGGAAGGGAGTTATTTAGCTGATCTAATGAGTACATGTGGGAAAGCATCTGCAGCGCTGGTCCAGCTCTGTCCTGCAGATTGGGAACCCCACTGTCTGAAACTCCCTCACAAAAAAATAACATACCTGTCAAGCTGCATACGTGGAGCTGGCACAAAACATTCAGGGTTAGAAACTAGCCATCACTGGCATTGTTCTGTGTATCCTCTATACTGATTAACTGATTAATTGATATTTAATTGATTGCACTGTCAGAGCAGGACTTTAGCATGTGCTGATTGTCTCCCTGACTGTTACTAACAAGTCTGAAGAGCATTTAGTATAAATCCGTAGGAACTGTGCATCTAAGAGGCACAGAAACTGCTTTGGTGGCAACAAAGACCTGAGTTCACGGAGCACGGTCAGTGAACAATGTAATCACTCACACACAGAAAGGTCTTTCTCTTTGCTTTTTAAATAATTGTTTAGAGAAATTTAAATGTAGCTGATGAGGTGGGGTGAGAAGCGTCCCCGGTGCAATTGCCCCAGTAACATGCTGTGCTCTGCTCTACTCGGAGAGCTCCTTTGAAGCATTTGTGCCATTTTTGCTCTGCCCTGTCTGTCCCCGGGGGTGCATTACCTGAGCGGTGCCCTCGTCGGGGGGGGCTGCTGCAGGCCCAGGATCCGTGCCCAGGACGGGGCTTTGCCTTCCCTCCAGCCTCCAGCGGGGAGGGCAGGATCCTGCCCCGTGGAACGGTCCTGTGCATGCACAGCACTTCTTTTGCTGTTTGTCAAGAGCTTCTTTAAAGGCCTCTCACTCTGCAGAGTTACAGCCTGTAGCAATCTGTCCTTTTCTCCTCAAACAAACCCTTTATGGGCTTGTTCTTGTGAAATTTATGGGTTGTTGGGTGAAACATTAGGAAACATTACATCAAAAATGTAGAATGCTTTTCCCAGCCTGAACCAAGGTCGGTGGCAAGTGCTGGCTGCTGAGACAGGGCTCTGACGAGCCTTTTCTTCAGGGTGACCGGGGCTCAGCGATAACAGCCAGCCCCAAGGAGCCCCTCTGCCGGGATGGGGGCTCGTTCGCCTGTGCGCCCCTTCAACCGGTGTCGGGGTGAGGGACCGGATTATCCCGTGGGAATTGTAAAGATGCAGAATGCACCATGGACCAGTCTGGGGTTTAAAAGATGCAGGTTTGGGTGTGCTGGTGAGCCCCCCGGGGGAACAAAGCTGGCTGAAGAGCGGCTCTAAATGAAGTACGAGAATTTGAAAGGACCAATAGGTTTTCAGAGGAGCCACCAGACAATCGTAACAACGTTGTCTTGCTGTATTAGTTTAACGTCCGCTTGAATCACTGACCTTAAGGTCTGAAAAGGACTAAATCTAGAAACAGATTATTTTTCCCATGCAACATGACAGAGGGGCTGCGGCTGCTCCTAAATGCAATTGTGCACCCGCTCACGGCCGCGCATTGTTCCCCGGCCGCTCGGGAAGCGAAACCGCCGCGCGTCCCGCGCCGGGGCTGAGCCCCGCGGGCTCGCAGCGCCGGCACCGCCGGACCAATGCTACCCCCTGGTGCCCGCTCCGCGCTGCTCCGCGCTGCTCCGCGCTGCCCCGCGCTGCTCTGCGCTGCCCCGCGCTGCTCTGCGCTGCCTGCTCCGCCTGCTCCGCTCCGCGCTGCCCCGCGCTGCTCCGCGCTGCCTGACGCGCGCTGTTCCGCGCTACCCGCGCCGCTCAACGCCGCCTGCTCCGCGCCGCTCCGCGCTGCCCCGCGGGGGGTCACGGCGCCGGGAGACACGGCCCCCCCCCCCCCCCCCCCCGCACCCCGCGGTGCCCCCGGCCCGGGCGCTCCCGCTCCAGCCGAGCCGCGGGGCGGGGAGGGGGGGGGGGGGGGGCCGGGCTGCACCTCCCACCCCCCGGGGACCGGCCGGGGCCCTCGGGGTGCGGGGGGGTGCGGGAGCACCCTGCGAACGCCGGCAGCCGGTGCGGGGGCGCAGCCGAGGCCGGGCAGGGGGGGTCCCCGCGCCCCGCCGGCCCTGGGCGCCCCTGTAAACTCCCTGTAAACCCACCCGTGAAACTTCGGACGGGAGTTAGTGGGACTCGGCCCGGGACGGGGCCGCAGCAAACCTGCAACCTGGTCTGGCGCGCCGCGCAGCCTGGATCTCACATCTCTGCGTTATACTGCTCACTCTTTGCATCTTGTTAATGAAAAGCATGGATGTAATTTCAATTAAAGATAATTACATATTTAAACTTAACATTAAATTCTGCACTAAAACAAAATTACATGAAATCTCAGTGTGCAGCCGTGCTGAAAGGCGGCATGTGAGGCGAGCGGAGGAAGGAAATGCTATTATGCAAAGTGAGCTGATCCTTTCCACGCATATCTCCTGCCTGCATGACACTTCCCTGTCCAGCAAGTTAAATCTAATCCATTCCCACACACCACCTTCAGAGCTGGTTCCTCTCCCTGGGTTTTGCTGGGCCGGCCCTGCAGCCACTCGGCCGTAACCATTACTGCACTGTACAATCCAGACAGAAAAATTAAATGCCCTGTGAGCGCGAGCACCGGTCAGCAGGGCTGCGAGCGGGGCTGTGCTGAGATTTGCCGTGCCCAGCAGCGCCTCGGCCGAGCAGCCTCGTCAGCGGCCTCTGGCAGCCGTGGGAGGAGGCTGAGAGATGCTGCAGTTGGATAAACTCTGCTGTTAACCCAGGCTCAGGGTCTTGAGTAAAGCCGGGAAAGTGTTTTGAATTAGTGATGAAAAACACAGTTCTTGGACTATTGAAATTCTTTTGTGAAATCCAACAAATCTGTTGGCCTCAAAAGCAGTTTTTTGAAAACTGAAAACTTTATTATTCTGTACAATTCCCCCCCAAATCCCAAACACAACATTTCATTCTTCCAAAAGCAAATGCTTTTATCTTCTGTCCCCAAGCATACTGAAAATTACTGGTTTGAGATGGCATAAACTGCTTTTTGCACTCCTCACTCCCTGTTTGACCAGCAAATTAAAAGAAAAAAAGCAATTATTTGCCCAAGTCAGCGGCTGGGTTCAAGCCCCAGGCTGGCATGGTGCAGGACCGAGCTTAGTTACCGCCAGTCCAGGCGGGAGGGGGGGTTATCCCACTGCCCCGGCAGCCCGCAGGGCTTGTGAGGTGCTGGAGACCTTCCCGCGGAGGGGACGACACTCGCATGGTGCTGGCGCAGCTTGGAGGCCAGGTAGGGATATTTTTTTCCCTAGCTTTCTATATTTCCTAAAAACAGATGCCAGAGGATGAGCAGGTTAAAGCCGTGCCGATTCAGACCAGGTTAATCCATGCTGGTGAGACCCAGGTTTCAGAGGCACGGCTCAGCAGGTCTCCTGCCCCGGCTGAGGACGGAGTCTCTTCGGGCTCGGCTGGAGGCGACGGTGACGGCCGCGGGAGCGGGGACACGGCCCCCCTGAGCTTTCCAGGGTGCCCTGCGGAGCCCGGGGGGCAGCGGGAGGGGAGGGTCCGGCCCTGTGCCGGCCTGCGGGTCGGTGCCAGCATGAGCACAGCATGGGCCTGCGGGTGCCGAGGGGGGAGCAGAGGACACCCATGTCCCCGTCCCTCCGGGGCAGGCGTGTGCGAGGGTCTGTCACGATGCACTGCTGTGGCGAACCAAAGACACTTTGGCACCATCAAACCTCTTCAGAGAGAGGCTTTTGTTTAATAAAACATGAAAACTATTCATTGTGTGATTTAATTTGATAGGAAATTCATGCTGCTCCTGTAATAATTATTATCATTATTGATTATTGCAGTGTGGCTGAGCAGCTGGAGCCAGGGGCCAGAGCCCCACCGTGGGCATTGTGCCAGGGGACAGCCTTTGCCCTCACGGACACACTTCTTGCACTTCTTAACCACAAGTGGACACAAGCGCGGTGCTGAAATTGTGGGTTTGTGCTGTGTGATGGTCAGGGCTGCCAGCAGACTTCCCAACTGCACCAGGCAGCGCAGGCTGAGGACGGGAGAATCAAGACATCAAGTGAGCAGTCATGGTGCATGTGAGAGTGAGCTGTGTCACACCGGTGTTGCTGTCATTAAGCTTCAGTGTGAACGTCACCTGCAGAGCCCTTTGCTCCTCTCCTCGGGCCGCAGTTGTTTTCCAGCCCTTGAAGATGTCTGTTCCTCAGCACACAGCAGGAAGGGTCGGTTTGCTGCCGGGAGGGAGGGAACTGGCAGGATTCGCTTGTTCCCAGGGTGGACACGGGGAGCAGCGGCGCGGAGGGGCAGCACCGCGGGCACCGCGGGCACCGCGCATGGCACAGCCGCCACGCTCCAGCACCGGGGTTTCTCCTCCTCCGTTAAATGATCACAGTTATCAAGCACTGACAAGTGGCATTAAAATTTATTAGCCAGCATAAAGTTTTATTTAAGGGATGGCTAGAGATTTAGTGGGCTCTGCGAGTCCTTACTTAGGCTGGCTGTGTCACCTTTAATAACTGCCTGTGGGGTCTGCAGGACAGGGGGTGGCCCTGGGTGCCCCGGCTCCTGCTCCCCGCCCTGGCAGGTCCCCGCCGCTGCCCACCCAGCCGTGCAGACCCCGCCAGCCACGTGCGCCCAGGGCTGGCGAGGGAGCTCCTCCAGCAACGCCTCCATTAATCAGTTTGGCAATCATGAAATACACTACACGCGTACTGGAGTTTAAATCCTGGACTCACTAATGGTTTACTACCCACTAAATCCCCCTTCATGTTATTTAACTTTTAAACCCAAGGAATATTCCAAATCAAAGAGGCTCTGTGTCACGCTTAGTCCATCTCAAAGAGCCTGGAATTAACATCCCTTCATGGCTCGACAGTGCCTGCCGCACGGAGCCACTGCTTGCTCCTTATTAATATTTATGATGAGGAGAGAAAGTTGCATAGATCTTGGTTGATACTTAATTAAACCCCACTTCTTTTGATTTCTTCTCTTTCAGCTTCACTTAGTGCGGACTGTGCGACCATTAGATGCTCATCCCACAAAGAGCAGCCTGGCACGGGCGGTGGCACCCCCGGGGCTCAGGGGGATTTAGCGTCGGCAGCCACCCCGCTCGTGGCCCCCGGGCCCCCCTGTGTCACCTCCTGGCCTTGGCCACCCTGGCCCGGGCACTGCGGCCGCAGGTCAGGGACTGCAGAGCCCCCCGGGGCCACCGCGAGCCTCGGCTGGCAAAGCACAACGCAGCTCCAGCCCCTTCGCTCTGGTTTATCTGCGTCTCGTGTCTGATCTCGAGCGCGATTCATAAGAAAACAGTTAACACGCGGCTGACATATCTTTGATACGACGATCATACCGAGGAAGCAGCTTGACCCCCGAAGGCTCCCGCGAACGGCGGGATTGACACTTCACATTGACTTTGCTTCAGGCTTATCAACAAATCTCAGCCAATTTTATTAAAGAGCCGCGTGTGGTGTGTGGGACACGCCAGACTCAGACAACTTCATCTAGCAGCGACTCAGAAACCAGGCAAGGGCTTGGCTCCTTTTCTTCTCATCCGTGTTTTCACTTTGCTGGTGAATTTAACTTTACAGAAGCTCCTCGTGTGTTCCGGTGAGGGCTGGAAAGCTGTAAAAGTCCTTAGGGTTTCATGGCCCCTTCATGGAGAGGAGGGGGCGAGCAGGTAGGGGCTGGCTGGGGCTAGCAGGGGCTGCGGTGGGCAAGCGGTGGCTGGCGAGACAGGGAAGTGCGGCCACCGCAATCGCCCCGGCAGTGCCCGGCCAGTGAATCACCGTGGTGGCAACCGGTCCTGCACCCGCCGGGCTCGGGCAGGCCGGGCTGGCCGGAGCCCCGCGCTTGGCAAACTCTGACGCGGAGGGCCGGCGGTGGGGCAGGGCCACCCCGGCATCGCTGGGGGCCGCAGCCCTGCACCCCCGGGCTGCCGGACACGGGGTGCTCCTCTCTGCCGAGCTGCGCCACCCGTCCTGAATTACAACCCTGGGAAACACCAAATTCTAAAATCGCCCCCAAAACCCAGCCAAACCCGCTCGGGCAGGCCATATGGGCAGTGCTGACTCTTCTAAACTGGTTTACATGTTTTAGGCTCTATTTTTCAGCTCAGTTTAATGTGTATGTTGTATTTTTAGTGCTGAAAGAGGGCTGGGGCAGGGTCCCCCGGGACGAGAATCAGGGCAGCAAGCAGCCAGCAGGATCCACTGCTCTGAGGCATCATTTGGTAATTATGTCTCTTTTTACTCATGCAAATTTTATCAATATTATTTATATATTCAAAGCCATTTATAAATAATATATACATTTATGCTAAGGTAATTGCCTCAACTAGACTATTTGTCCCAGTTTTTATTGTCTATCCAGATGCTGAATATTAAAAGTATGTTTTCTTGTATGCGTTAGCAGTTTGGAGCTGGCTGTCCCAGCACGGGAGCAGCACCCCTGCGCCGGCCGGTGTGCTGGGAGGGGGGAAAGTGCAGGATGGGTCTGGCGAGGGCCGGGCAGGGAGGGGGAGGGAGGAGGGGTGAGGGGAGGGGGCCTTGGGGTGCTCGTCCTGACGCCCCGGGGCCAGACCCGCGCCCAGCGATGCCGCTCTGCCCCGGTGCAGGGCAGCAGCCCAGGGGTGGGCTTCAGGCCTGACTCGGGCAACTGGTCCCGGTATCGCTCACATCCCATCCCACCTCCTACCTCTGCACTTACCAAAACTTGACATCGCAATGAAAAAAGATTAGGAGCATTGACAGGTCTGCAAAGGTGACAGCTACAAAGAAATATGGAGCAATCACATTGTCAGAGTGCCTATTAGGAACCTAAAAAACCTCAGCTCTCCTGCACAAGCAAAACTGATTTATTGCACAGTACAGTTCATGAACTCATCAGTGGTTTTGCATGGAGAAGAGATGGATTTTCTTTCAGATGTTTATGGTGTGAGTAGACTGTCCTGAAAGTTATTGTTTGATTTTATAAATCAGTAGTGCTTGCTAGGGAGAGCTACGAACTGAGCTGGCTCTCCAGCCGAAACAGCCCAAACTCATCGTGAGGCCTGAGAAAGCGCCGCGCGTTTCTGGGGTGGCGTTCCCCGGGGATCCCCAGCACGGCCCCGCCGAGCAGAGCGCTGGCCCCTGGCTGCGCTGGGTCTGCCAGCCGTGCCAGTGGCCGTGCCAGTGGCCGTGCCAATGGTTGTGCCAGTGGCCGTGCCAGTGGCCGTGCCAGTGGCCGTGCCAATGGTTGTGCCAGTGGCCGTGCCGGTGGCTGTGCCAGTGGCTGTGCCAGCAGCTGTGCCAGTAGCCATGCCAGTAGCCATGCCAGCAGCCGTACCACCAGGCAGCTGAGCTGGGCAGCCTTGGCCGACCGGCTTCCAAACCCCGGGGCAGGCTCTGTGCGTCG